ATACACCCAGCAGCGCTGCTGATGCCTGAACGGTATGTGGAATGAAGTGGGCGGGCATCGGGAGGCCACTATGGCACGGGGCAAGCACTATGGGCAGTCTATCTGAAGTGTACCTGGCGTATAAGACGACCCCCCACTTGGAGGCATATTTTTCAGGGCCAAAAAATCGTCTTATACGCCGGCAAATACGGTACTTCACTGAGTTTTTAGTCTCTATAAAAACTAATTTTGTTGAAAGACGAACAGAAATACCAAAGGCTCATGTCACTGAAGACAGACTACAAAGCAGGGCAACACCCACCCAGCCGGGTGGCAGACACTGGCCATCCCTGAACGTAAGTGGTGAGGGGCCGAAAGGAAGGCCTCCGGCTTTCACTTCTCTACCCTCATGTTCACCATGTTCACCAATGTTCCTCTGGGTCATGTGGGTTAGCTACCACACCGTGCTTCTGTCAGCTTATGGTGGTTCGTGAGGCTAGTTAGAGCAGAAGAACCCCGACCACAACTCAGGACTCTTGTAGCCCAGGACTGGCTCTCCCCGAGACTTTACTACCACCCTTGTGGGAAATGGCCAGCTCTGTGGGACCCACACATTCAAAAGCCATGGGTATCACCAGCCGGTCTTCACGACTGATCACTTCTGTTTTCCTTAAGACAGTTCTTAAAGTTTACCCATCGAGTTAAAACCCCCAGCCCTGCAATTCAGTGACTGAGAAGAGAAATAAATTGTTGTCTTAAGCAACTTAGAAAAAGAATCCCAAAGAGGATAGTGATTTTAGAATCGAATTACAGTCACTTTAAATAAAAACTAATGTCTTATCTTCATGCTTTTTTCTATCTGGTTTCACTATTTAAGCAATTTCTCAAAACCTACAAATGTGCTAGTCTGTAGGCAGCATGAAGACAGCTGTGCACGTTTAGAAAAGTTCCAAGCTCCTTTCTAAATGAAAACTTTATTTCAGACAAGACAAATAGTAAATTCTAACCTAGGTGCTGGCAAAACTTTTTCTTAAAGGGCCAGATAGTAAACGTTTTAGGTTTTGCAGGCCACATGGTCTGTCATCATGAAGACCAAGTAAACAGTGGGTATTGCAGCATTCATAAAGCTTTTCTCACAACGATGGCAGAAGGCTGAATAGCTGCGCTTCTATCCCCCCCTGAAGTCTCAGCTAGCTCGCATCTCAACGCAATGCCTCTCACCTAAGCTTCCTCACATCCAATCACCTCCCTAAAGAAAACGGCACTTCCCCGCAACACTGCCCTGGTCCTTATACTCGCTTGGAAGTTAATGTTCCATTTATTCAGAAGCTTCCTGACTGCTATTTGTACACTTTGCACATCCAAATGATCACCAGCTCTTTTTTTCAGAAGGGAGGAATGTATGGTAGGAAAGGAATGGGGCAAAAGAGAGGTAAGTGAAAAGAATCATTCATGCAAAGGCCAGAAAAGTAGATTCTACTCTCCGCTGGATTTTAGCACCAGTAATTCCACAGCTGTGGGCAAGCAGGGAACCCTAAAATATGACGCCATAGTATGTTCTATCAGCAGGGGAAGAGCAAGTGTCTAGACATCTAAGGAGATTCTTCTTTAAGTGAGGTCTTATTCAAGGCTGTTAGGGAACGTATGGGCATGACAAATATATATATATATATATTTTTTATTGTGACCCCAGGGGAGGTATGTGT